CACTCTCACACACACACACACTCTCTCACACACGCACACACTCACTCACTCTCTCACACACTCTCTCTCACACACACACACACACACAGACACACTCTCTCTCTCTCTCTCTCTCTCTCTCTCTCTCTCTCTCTCTCTCTCTCTCTCTCTCTCTCTCTCTCTCTCTCTCTCTCTCTCTCTCTCTCTCTCTCTCTCTCTCTCTCTCTCTCTCTCTCTCTCTCTCTCTCTCTCTCTCTCTCTCTCTCTCTCTCTCTCTCTCTCTCTCTCTCTCTCTCTCTCTCTCTCTCTCTCTCTCTCTCTCTCTCTCTCTCTCTCTCTCTCTCTCTCTCTCTCTCTCTCTCTCTCTCTCTCTCTCTCTCTCTCTCTCTCTCTCTCTCTCTCTCTCTCTCTCTCTCTCTCTCTCTCTCTCTCTCTCTCTCTCTCTCTCTCTCTCTCTCTCTCTCTCTCTCTCTCTCTCTCTCTCTCTCTCTCTCTCTCTCTCTCTCTCTCTCTCTCTCTCTCTCTCTCTCTCTCTCTCTCTCTCTCTCTCTCTCTCTCTCTCTCTCTCTCTCTCTCTCTCTCTCTCTCTCTCTCTCTCTCTCTCTCTCTCTCTCTCTCTCTCTCTCTCTCTCTCTCTCTCTCTCTCTCTCTCTCTCTCTCTCTCTCTCTCTCTCTCTCTCTCTCTCTCTCTCTCTCTCTCTCTCTCTCTCTCTCTCTCTCTCTCTCTCTCTCTCTCTCTCTCTCTCTCTCTCTCTCTCTCTCTCTCTCTCTCTCTCTCTCTCTCTCTCTCTCTCTCTCTCTCTCTCTCTCTCTCTCTCTCTCTCTCTCACACACACACACACACTCACTCTCTCTCACACACACACACACTCTCTCTCACAAACACACTCACACAGAGACACACAAACACACACAGACACACACTCTCTCACACACACAGACAGACAGACACACTCTCTCTCTCTCTCTCTCACACACACACACACACACAGACACACACTCTCTCTCTCTCTCTCTCTCTCTC